CCACTATTTCACATTGAACGCCTTGCCCCCATCACTGTTGCCCACATGTGCCATGGGTTGGCCCCAACACACCTGCACTGAGCTGCAGTCCTAGCCCTATTTGCTTATTGAGACAGGGTCTGACTAAATCTCTGATTTACCAAGGGTGGGCCCAAACACCTAATCTTCCTGTTTCAGTCTCCCAGAGTGTTCAGAGGACAGGCATTTGCCATGGCACCTGGCGAATATCTTGCTTCTATACAAATTAAATTGATACTACTTATCTTCTTTCAAAGACACTTTAGTCTCCAACATTTATTTTCTGGAAAAATCTTCAAGTACAAATTATTTCATCATCTAATCCCATCAGGGTAGAATAACTCAGCAGAGCACCCTGAGTGCATTTCTTAACATCGTCCAGTCAGCAGATAGAGCCTGAAGCGGCCTAGAGAGGAGATGTTCTCAGGCAAGTTATCGCTGGCTGCTTCTTTACTTGTCCTTTCCCCAGAGACCTCCCCCTCAATCTCACCTTTTTAAGACTCCAAGAATTATGCACCGACTTGTACTGGCATTAAAGTCAACCCAAATCCCTATAGACTGTTCTCTATTTCTCTGAGTTTGTCTGCACACAAAGATATAGCTGACATACCAATACTTTGATACTTCGATCATACAAGTGGTGTGATCTATGCAGATCTTCCCACACCGGTCTTCCCGTGGCCTTGGAGCCTAGTCCCACATGGCAGGCACTGCAGAGCAAACCACACTCCTAACAACCAAATGATACAATTCCCACCCAGGGAAAGGTGGGACAAAGGGGTAAGAAAAGCAAAACAAAACACATACAAGTTTAGAGAACTTTCCCCTTTCTGTCTCTCTCTCTCCCTGTTTCCCTTTTTCTGTCTCTACTTCTTGTGTTATCTCTCTGCCTCAATCTCTTTCCCCTGCAAATGAAGCCTTTTACACATAGTATTTCTGTTGGGAGCACAGATATGTACCCTTGTGAAAAGCATTCTGGGAAATTGCCGGATGAGCTTTAACCGCTCATACTTTTTGGCTCAGCAAGCCCATTTCCATTCATATATTCTTTGATTCTGCAAATATTTGTTGAGTATTACTATATGCTAGGCCCTGGGCCAAGTGCTGGGGGAAATCTGCTTCTGGAAATCTCTTCTAAGAAAACAGCCAGTTAAGTACATGAAAATGTAAATACAAAGATTATTTTCTTAGCATTATTTGAATGACAAAAAAAAATTGAAAGCTACTATAAATAAATGTCAATCCACTGCAATCCAACAGAATAAATAAATGGGTTAACAATTCAAGGAAATGCACTGTTTTATTAAAATTATAAGGGCTGTCCTGATAGCTCAGTGGATTAAAATGCCTGCTTAGGTGGACGCAGGGACCAGGGTTCAGTCCCCAGTGTGCCGGGCCCGCCCCACTCATGGGGCACATTGAGACAGTGACTGAGACTGAGCGTGGTGGCACACGCCTGTAATCACAGTGCTTGGGAGGCTGAAAACAGGAGAATCACTATGAGTCCGATCTGTGTAGTGAAACCCTGTAGACCCTGTACTAAATACATAAAAAAAAAATTATGATAAAAGTGGGCAAACAAATATATACATATAAGAGTCTACATATACAAATGGAAAGCCATTCAACCTTAAAGACAGCCATTCCTTACACCACAGATGAATTTATTGAATATTATGTTACATGAAATAAACCAGACACAGAAAGAGAAAAATTGAGTGATTTCACTTATATCTGGAATCTAAAATGTTGAACTTATAGAAATAGGGTAGAATGGTGCTTATCAAAGTCTGAGGGGTAGGGCCAACTGGGAGAGGTTGGTCTAAGGACACAATCTTCCACTTAGAATAAGTTCCAGTGCTCTGTTGTACTCATAGTGATTTCAGCTGGTAACAATATATTGTATATATGAGTTGTTAAGACTGTAAGTTTTAATTCTTCTTACCACACGGAACTACTATGCGAGTAACAATGTTAATTGACTTGGTATAGCCAATGCAGAATGTAAACATATATCAAACATCATTTGTAAAAAAAGGTATAGAGGGTTGTATTTAAAAATATGGTGTTTTGTTTTGTTTTGTTTTGTTTTGTTTTGTTTTGTTTTGTTTTGTTTTGTTTTGAGACAGGCGCCCCAAAGTTGCTATGTTGTCCAGGTCAGGATTCAATTTAGATTCTTCTGCCTCACCCTCCCAGAGTGCTGGGTTTACAGGTGTGTGCTACCATGACCACCTGGCTAATATTCCTTTAAGGTTAAAAAGAAGCTAGAGTTGGGGAGAGCTCAGCGGCATAAGCACCTGTCTGGGAAGCACAAGGTACTAAGTTTGATCACTGGTACTAACAAAACAAAACAAAAAAACAGACAAACAAACAAAAATCTATTAGTATCAAAGCTTATGGCATGGGTATTGGCATTAAAATATGCTGACAAGGTAGCAGCAAGTTAAAAATACATTATAAGGGACCAGGGCATAAGCGCCTGCCTAATAAATGCAAGGTCTTGAGTTCAATACCCGGTACCACAAAAAAAAAAAAAAAAAAAAAGAGTCAGTTACAAAAATACATTACAAAACATGCATATAATAAATTTCATTTTATTTTACTTATTTTTTGTAGTGCTAGTGATGAAACCCAGAACTTAATTCATGAGAATACAAGATTCCATCCCAAGGTTGCATCCCCAAGGCTGAAAGGATAGCTCAGTGGTCTAAACACCTGCTTGGCAAACACAAGAACCGGGCACCACATGCCGTGCTGGCCCCACTCCTGGCAGGCCAAGCCTCCAGCGAAATCGGGCGTGGTGGTGCGTGACTGTAAATCCCAGTGCTGGGGAGGCTGAAACAGTATGAGTCCGAGCTGCAGAGTGAGATGACCCTGTACCAAATATATAAGAAATAGATACATAGATAGATAAATAGGTAGAGTTGCATCCCCACTCCTAAAAGAAAGCACATAAAAAGAATTATTATTCAGGGCCAGGGAGATAGCTCAGTAGAATAAGCGCTTGCCTGGCAAGCGCAGGGTCCTGAGTTCAATCCCTGGTGGGGAGGGGGGGGGATTATTACTAAATAGAGGGGGGAGCTCAGTGGTGTAAAGCATCTGTGTAGGCAAGCTTAGGAAGGCTCAGAGGACCACGGTTCAATCCCCAGCACCACATGGTGCTCCAGCCCCACCCTCAGGGCAGGCTGAGCTGGCCAAAAAAGGAAAACCTAAACCTAAATAGATGGGAAGTTTTTAAAATTTATATGTAAAATTAAATATTGAATTTAAGACTATGAGTGATTTTTACTTTCCCCTTTATGATTTTTTTTTTTTTTTCCAATACCGGGGATTAAACTCAGGACCTTGCGCTTCCCAGGCAAACGCTTATTCTACTGAGCTAACTCTCCAGCCCATTCCCTTTATGATTATTTGTAGTTTTCTAATCTTTTTCTATGAATGATAGCTGATTTTATTACTTAGATAATTTAAATAACTGACAATAACTTGGTAAAATTATTTTTTGACTGAAGCAAGGACTGGCAAAATGTACCGAAGCAACAAGAGCATACCTTCAAGACTTCCGAGAATTCTCAAAAAACATATCTGTTATGGTGGGGCGATGCCACACCTACACAAGTGAGTACAAGAGTGCAGTGAACAACCTGGCACTGCGAGTGGAGCGAGCCCAGCGGGAGATCGACTACCTGGAATACCTTCGAGAGGCTGACATATGCCTGGAGTCAGAGGAGAAGACGCTGGCGGAGAAGCTTCTTCAAGCAGCTGAGGAAGAGAAGAAGATCCGAAGTCTGCTGAATGCAAGTAAGAACTGCGTCCCTTACCAACCCTGCTAGGGACTGTTGCACTCTTGGGGCAGCCAGGGAGTGTGAGCGAGCAATGAGAGAGGACCCGGATGTGCGCTTCAGTGAGCATGCGCTGGGCGAGAACCCTGCGTGGAGAAGCGGGGTCCAGTCGCTCTTCCTCTCACAGTGAGTTTCTGAAGACTCCATAAAGTCAGGGCTACAAAGTCAGACATCAGCCTGGGAGGTCTCCTGATAGCTCTTGGTTTGGAGCTCTGAGATCTTCCTGGGAAGTGGGAGATTGGCTTCTTTACCCAGCGCTCAGAAAATAGAGTGTGGCTCCCAGTGAAAACCAGAATGGGCGGCCGCTGACCCTCAGAGGTGGGAAGTGCGGTGATTATTACTGTGTTTTTCTGGGATGGTGATATCCAGGGAATTTGTCTCCAGTCTTGTGGTCCATCAGAACCACTCCCAGGCCATTAAGAATAACGTCTAGCAGCTCAAATTGTAATAAAAGTATCAAGCGATAAACACACAAATGAGACCATTTTCCTGAACGAGAGTCCATTTCATTAAAAAAAAAAAAAAAGAGGGAGACATGTCTCTCCCTCAGAGTCTGCATTCTGAAATGGTTTCACTACTACTAGGAACACTTTATTTATATGCAGATTATATCTGCCCCAAATTCAAGGAACTCCACCAGGGAAAGAAGGCAATAACTGAGGACTATTATTGTACTAGGGGCTTTATGTATCTGCTGAATGTAATTGTTTTATAAACTCCAAGGGTTATTATGAAAAGAAAGGTCTTGCTAAATGAAGTAATGCTTGACCTGAGCAAAGGAATTAGAAAATAGCAAGCAGAGGGCCTCTGAGGTACAGACTCAGCACAGAAAGGCAAAGGTTAGGCAGCATTCTATTGTGTAGGCCTGCAAATATGTCTGAGTGAGAGCTGTATAGGCCACACAAGTGTAGGAAAATTGAATTGAAGAGTTCATCAGGGCCCAGATGGCTGGCTGGAAAAACTGTACAAAGCCATCAGATTTTTCTAAACAGAGGTATAATATGAAAGAAGACAGAACAGACAGGAAAGACCAGGTACAAGAATACTATACTAATTTAGGTAAGGAACAGAATTGGAATTAAGTGTCATGGGGGGGGGGGGGATTTGAGAGTCATTGTTGGAATCCTCATGGTTTGATAACTCATAATTTAAAGAACTAGTGGCAGGATATTTCCCAAGTTTTAGGCTAGGTCATTGCATGGTTGATATAAAATATATTAAGAGAGAAAACCTGAGAAGTTTGGAAAGCTCTATTACTCAATTTTTTTGGGGGGGGGCACTAATGTCCTACTCCATTTTCTGTTATTATAGTAAATGCTAGAGACTGGGTAATTTACTTAAAAAATTGAGGTTTATTTAGCTCATAATTTACACATAGGAAAGTCCAAGGTTGACATCTGGCAAGGGTCATCTTGCTGCATCATAACATTTATTACATGATGAAGCAAAGTAAACCAATTGGGGGGGGGGCTCTTATTATAAAGCCACTAATGTACTCATGGGAAATCCCCTATAGGATGTCATCTAATTCTTAATTACTTCCCAAAGGCACTACCTTCAGATATCATTAATATATGACTTTGGGGATTATGTTTCCAAAACATGAACTTTGGGGGGACATAAATCCTAGCACCTTAAAACAATGAGAAAAGCTAGTTTACTTGTTCACCACTTATTTTCTGCCTCTTGATCTATAATGTCAGCTGTTTGAGAGGCTGGACTCTCAACTTCATCTCCATTATGTCTCCAATGGTTAGAATGGTGCCCAAGTTTGAATAAATAGTTGTCAGGGAAGAACTAAGGGGAAAAAAAATAAATGAATGGATGGATGAAGGAATTATCAGCACAGGCAGAGGGAGTAGATGGGCTTTAATGGAAAAAGAACCTTTTTACCTTGAGTTAGAAAAAAAGAGAGGGGTATTTTATCTGTACTATGAAAGCAGTCTGTCAAGTTAAGTGATTAGTGCTTCTCGACCCTGTTATCCTGAGAGGAACTGCTCTCTAAAAGAGAAGCAGCTAAGGATAAGAACAGAGGAAAGGAAGGAAAAGGAGAAAAGAGAGTGTCAGCCGACCAAGGATGAACAGAGGATTCCTACACAGCTGATCGGGGAACTAGGGTGTAGCGCAGCACTAGGGTGACCGAGCACTTACATAGTATGCACAGGGCATGGGTGTGATCCCTAATTTAAAAATGTCCTTGGGGAGGATGAGATGCTAAGGTGCCTGAACTTTCACACTAGGGGACACATAGGTTCCCCAGCCAGAAGGGCGAGGTTAAGCTGAATCCCTGAGGTGCTGCTATTCCCTGGGTGCCCTCAGCCCCCAGGCCTGCAGGTTGCCACTTTTCACTTCAGCTAGAGCTCAGCAGATACCCAGGCACTGAAGGCTATGCTTGTTCCTTTCCTACCCACTGCCCCACCTCTCAGACCTTGGAGGTCTTAAACATCTCTTCCCTCAACTCGGGTGAATGAACCTCTCTCAACCTCTCTGAAATTGTTGCTTCCACAGATGCTGCCCCTGGAGCTCTCATCTTATGATGTGTTCATTTATGACTCAGCCAACACTTATGGCCCTGTGTGACACAGCAGGACAGAGGGTGAGCAGGACTTTGGAATGTCCTGTGCTAGCACCCTCTCCACCCCACCTCCCCACCCCACCCTGCTTCCTGCTGCCATCTAGGGCTTCCTGAAACACAACAGGTATCATATTAGACTTTTGTGTAGAATATATGTTTCTTTTTTTATTTCATTTTATTTTTTATTTTAGGCCAGGATCTACAAGGTGTTCAAGGTCTCACTACTAGATCAGACTCATAGTGATCTGCCTGTTGACAGCCTCTTAAGAGCTGAGATTACAGATGCTCTAAACCACGCCCAGTCTCAGTCACCATCTCAGTGCTCCCGGGGGTGGGGCCCACACTTTGGGGCCAGGGGCTTGATCTGGGCGAACCCTGGCCCCTGTGCCTGCTTGCAGGTGCTTTAATCCGCTGGGCTATTTGGTCACCCTTTACATACATATTCTTTTCAGGAGTTGTCTGTCCACAGCTGGACTTCAGAATACCAATTTATTTTTCTTTTCTTTCTTTGTTTGTTTATTTAATGTATTTGGTACAGGATCTCACTATGCAGCTTGGACTCCTAGTGAGCTTCCTGTTTTCAGCCTCCCCAGCACTGGGATTACAGGCGTGTGCCAACACACCCTGACTCTTTGGCCGGCTCAGCATGTCCAGGGGTGGGGCTGGCATGGCACATGGTGCCAGGGATCGAACCCTGGTACCTAGGCTTGTCTAAGCAGGCACTTAGCCAATTTATTTTTCTACTCTGTTTTGTTTCATATTCTATATGCTGTGCCAACCCCTGCCGTCGTACTTTTTGTGGCTGCATTTATTAGTAACTATGCCTACCTCAGCATTCTAATGCTAGCTATACAGCAAACCAGTGCAGATTTAGCAGCTTAAAACAATACAGATTTATAATCTCAGCATTTCTGTGGCTTGGGAGTTCGTGCTCAGTTTAGTTGGCACTTCTGCTTAAAGTTCTGTGCCTGAGGCTGTGGAGTCCCCAGGCTTCCCTCTCTACAGGCAACTTGCAGTGTGACAGCTGCTGCTTCAAGGCTGAGAGGAGAGGGCTTCTCCTCTATAAGTACCTAGTGCCTCTTTCAGGAGTTTTTGTCTTACTATGTCAGGCCTACCTATAATAATCCTTTTTATTTAAATCCAACTTATTTAATACCTCAGTTATGCCTTTTAAGCCCTCACCTTTGTCTTATAATATAACACAATCACAGTGCTGTGCTCTCTTACATCCAGCTACTGGCCACACCTCAGGGAAGGCATTTACATAGGCCCTGTGGCTGGGTGGCGGCCATGTTAGAATCCTGTCAGTAATCCTCAGACTGCTTCTAATTTTACCAGAAGCCCTTCTTCCGGGAAGTGCTCAATGTTCTTATCTTCTAACCTTGGCTTTCCAGGAATAGACTAATCACGGTCTGTGCTTACCTTAAAACCCTGAAGACTCTGGTCAACACCTTGAAGGAGACAAACATTTTGGGATTATAGACTAGGGAAGGGCTGCCTGGGGTCAGATCTCAGGGCTCCTGTTTTTGGAAGAGCTCAGGAGTCAGTGATGCAGCTTCATTGAGTCTCAGGAGACTTCCAAGGAATTGTAAGACATCTTAGTCAAAATGGTTCTCCTGAGAAGAAAGAGGTGTACTGACAGTGTTTGGACAGAATATCCTGTCTGCTTCTTGTACTGTGGATAACCACTAAGAAGATAACAATGGACAATGTATTGATTATCAAAACTGTCCTATTAATCAGCTGTGAAACTATCTCATTCATATTTATTTCTCAATAAAAAATAATAAAATGGTTCTCCTTTTGCCTAGGGATATTTCCCTAGCAACTACCAAGGGTCAGACTGGGCATAAGGAAAAAGATAGGCTGCTTCTATAATTAAGCCATTCCTTATAAAGCTGCTTTCAAGTCTTTATCCTTTATTTTGAGATGATCCCCAGATAAGGTCCGTGAGAGGACCTCAGTTCTCAAGAGATGTATTAGGATTATGGGGTTAAGTAAAATTCTTAGAATCTTAGCTTTCTCTTTCTCACCCTCTTTCCTCCTTCCCTAACCCTCTTTCACACTCATACACAATTTAGAAATCAAGTAAGGGAAAGCTACAATCTAACTGAAACTTAAAAATCATTTTGAAGGGCCGACCAAATAGCTCAGTGGATTAAAGCATCTGCAAGCAGGTGCAGGGGCTGGGGGTTCGATCCCCGGGCCTGCTGTGCTGGCCCTGCCCCTGGGGTGTGCTGATATGGCAAAGCAATTGAGACTGAATGTGGTGGCACGTGTCTGAAATCCCAGCTTTTGAGAGGCTGTAAACAGGCCGATCACTACAAGTGTTATCCAGTAGTGAGACCCTGAACACCCTGTAGACTCTTCGCTAAAATACAGAA